ACGCTTGAGAGGTATGATTGTTTTAGTGTTTTTGGTCGATACAATTCTGTAATTAGGCCCCATCATAATTGTCAGCACCAGGCCCACTGGGCTCTTAATCTGGCCCTGCATACAGAAGCACAGAAACACAGATACAATGACACACACAAATATAAATACTGACATACACAGTGGTGTATCCTGGTTTTGTGCTGCCCTAAACATAATACATCTGGAGAGTGCAAAGATGCAACTGGGCCCACTTCACTAGACCATTTTTTAAAGAAAAATTTCCCAGCATGCTCATGAACACTTCTGCCAAAACCCATCTCATGGAGACTACCACTTGCACCTTCCTTATGATGCATTCTCCTCTTACTTTTGAAAAGAAGACCTATAATATCTATATACCTATATATCCCTAATACCATGTCGAACCATGCTCCCAAGAAACAAATTCTTTGAGCAGGAAACAGCTGTCTCTTTTGATAGATGATGACCCATCCGAACTTCTCCAATGTAAGAATTGCCTTGTCTCTATGATCTATAAGTCTTTCTTTTGTTTCTCCTACTAAAAAGAGTCACCTAGATAATGATAAATACTGAGGCCTTGCAATCTCAGATCCGCTATCAGAGCCAAAAGTGCTTTCAAGAAAGTTCTGGGTGCGGTGTTTAGAAAAAAAGGGTCTGAATTGAAAATATTCTCCTAGAACAGCAGACCTCAGAAATCTTTGATGTTGCTCTGCTATAGAGATGTGAAAGTACGTGTCCTTTAGATCTATAGAGATCATTCAATCTACTGAAATTTTTGAAAACAAAGATTCCATCCTGAACTTCTGAACTTTGAGGGAAAGGTTCAGATTTGGCAAATTTAGGATTTGACGCCAATACATTGAGGCTTTTGGGACCAAGAAAAAGAATTAAGTAAATGCCTTGAAATGTTTCTGAATGAGGAGCTCTTGAGATTACTTTTTTCTTAAAGGAGTGTCATTTCAGAGGAATTCTCTGAGTTTTTGATTCCACAAAAAAATTGTAAAAGAGAAATTCTCGAAACTCCAGTTTGTTTCCTTCTTTGAGGATGGAGATTACCCAAGGGTCTAATCTTTCTTGAGCCCAGGTTTTCCAGAAGAAATGGAGACGGGTTCCCACTTCTAGACCCTGGGGACCTAAACCTTCAGAAAAGTCTATTTGGTGCTCTTGAAGCAGTTGAGGACTCTTTTCTATTTCCTCATGAAGACTGACCCCCTTTCCAAACTGATGCTTTTGAGAATTATCTGCCTAGCCGTTAAGATTTTGATTTCCAAAAGGAAAGTCTATCACGAAAGGACATTCTGTCCTGCCAACTCTAGGAATTTTGTTTGTCCTTTTGAAAATGAGGAAGAAACACTTACTTACCCTCTGCTGCAAGTTCAATAGCTTCCTCCAGGTGCTTACCGAACAATAAATGTCCTTGGAAATGAATGCCACAGAAACTGTTCTTAGAAAACAAGTCAGCATTCCGGGATTTCAACCATAGTGCTCTGTTTGCCGCTACCGATAAAGCCATATTTCTAGCCTGGGTTCTGACCAGGTCAAGTGAGGCAAAGTAGAAAAATTCTGCTGCCCATTTAAGTTGAGACAAGCCACAAATGTTAAATGTTACCTACACATGAGGTCACATTATATGCAGACTGAGTAGTCAAAATATGTATGCTTGGGAACACGGGCACCCAGACAGGGGCGCCACAACCTTGCCTAATTGCCGACACTGTAATTGTGCATAATATTTACAAATGTTAACGGTGCATATTCATATTACTACCCTATTTTCCTTTGTACTACAAATCTAAAAATCAAAATAAAGATTGTCAAAAAAAAAAGTTCAGACAAGGACTCTGTTAGGGAAGATCTGCGCACTCCTTTCTCAATATTCTCTTACAAGAGGGATAACCACTTCATAAGTGATTTTGCCACTGAAGTCATGGATACTGCCGGTCTGCAAGCTGAAATATAATTTTACAAAAATTGTTATCAATTCTTCTGTCCACGAGGTCTTTGAAAGAAGCGACTTCATTAAAAGGGAGAGCTGTGTTCCTTCCCAATCTAATAATATTAGCAGTAGAAAGAGGGAAGTGCTCATGCCATTGTATATAGCACTGGTGAGACCTCACTTGGGAGTATTGTACGCAGTACTGGAGACCATATCTCCAGAAGGATATTGATACTTTGGAGAGAGTTCAGAGAAGGGTTTAAAAACTGGTTCATGGCTTGGAGGGTAAACTTACCAAGAAAGGTAAAGGCTATCCTAGCTATAAAATAAGGCCAGGGACTAATTAAAAGTATTTTGAAATATTGGGCCGACTAGATGGGCCGAATGGTTCTTATCTGCCGTCATATTCTATGTTTCTAAAGGATCTTAACATGTATAGCTTGGAGGAAAGACAAGACAGAGGAGATATGATAGAAACATTTAAATACATAAAGGGAATCAACACATTAGAAACATAGACATAAAACATAGAAACATAGAATGTGACGACAGATAAGAACCATTCGACCCATCTAGTCTGCCCAATTTCCTAAATACTTTAATTAGTCCCTGGCCTTATTTTAAAGCTAGCATAGTCTTATGCCAATCCCACGCATGCTTAAACTTCTTTACTGTGTTAACCTCTACCACTTCAGCTAGAAGGCTATTCCATGCATCCACTACCCTCTCAGTAAAGTAATACTTCCTGATATTATTTTTAAACCTTTGCCTCTCTAATTTAAGACTATGTCCTCTTGTTGTGGTAGTTTTTCTGCTTTTAAATATGGTCTCCTTTACTGTGTTGATTCCCTTTATGTATTTAAATGTTTCTATCATATCCCCCCGTCTCGTCTTTCCTCCAAGCTATACGTGTTAAGTTCCTTTAATCTTTCCTTGTAAGTTTTATCCTGTAATCCATGTATCCTTCTGGAGATACGGTCTCCAGTACTGTGTACAATACTCCAAGTGAGGTCTCACCAGTGTTCTGTACAATGGCATGAGCACTTCCCTCTTTCTACTGCTAATCAGGGCCGGACTGGGAATTAAAAGCAGCCCTGGAAAAAAAATATTTACCAGCCCCATAATGCATCGCGCCAGCATAGTGTGCAGATACAGAGTTAGAACAGATAACTTAAAATTAAAAAGTACTTCAACGTAAAAAGCGCACTCATAGGCTTCAAAATAAACAAAAGTGCAGATTTATTTTAAGCAGACGTGCCTTTGCATGTAATCAATGTTTCAGTCCAACTACCTTGACATATTAAGGAAAGCTTGTTAATGGGACTGAAATGGTGAATGTATATAGGGCACAACTGAAATTTTTTTATTTTGAAGTCCTGTGGGTGTGCTCTTCACTTTAAATATGTTATTGTGCTGGAGTATGCACCTAGCAACAAGACTGGGCCAAATATCTGCTCATTACATATGGTACATATTAATGAAATTTCTCTGTGTATTATGCATTTATAAATGTACATTAATATGTGTAAATATAATAGAGATATAAAACTAATACACACATTAATATACATGTCATATACTAATGGCGGATCCAGAGCCTGATCCTGAGAGGGGCACTTGTAGATTATTTAAAGAAATATTCTATGCACAATAACCACTACTCCTCTGTGTAGTGGTTATGGTGCCAGGAGCTTAAGAACAGTTTGACAATCTTACTTGGAGTTCGTTGGGATATGGGGCTGTAGTAGGGTATAGGAGCAGTGGTGCAATGTGTGTGAAAGGTTCAGTGTGGGTGGGCAGTGTGTAAATGTGTATGGTGTGTGTGTGTGTGTGGGTGGGCAGTGTGTGAATGTGTATGGTGTGTGTGTGGGGCAGTGTGTGTATGGGGCTAGAGTTCACTCCTACTACTGGGACCACCAGGAAGTGGTGAGAGTGAACTCTAGCCCGTAGCTCCAGGGCTAGAGTTCACCCTCGTGAGAGCCGAAGCGTTGCCCCAGGTCCTCTCGTCCTCCCCTGCCGACTGGCTGCACGGTGCCTGTGGAACATGGAGGGAGATCGGCCGGCAGGGGAAAGCCTTGGGGGGGGGGCCCGTTGCCCCCCCACCATCCACCAGTGATATATACTGCCCCTATGTGTGTCTCTTTATCTCCAGCCCCTCTGTGTGCCTTTTTGTATCCCCCAGTCATTCTGTATGTTTCTTTCTCCCCCTCACTCTCCCCATCTCTCTCCCTCCCCCCTTTCCCTGTGTCTCTCCCCATCTCTCTCCCTCCCCCCTTTCCCTGTATCTCTACCGATCTCTCTCCCTCCCCCCTTTCCCTGTGTCTCTCAACATCTCCCTCCCCTTTCCCTGTGTCTCCCTTCCTCCCCATCTCTCTCCCTCCCTCTTTCTTCCTGAGTCTCTCCCCATCTCTCTCTCCCTCCCCTTTCCTGTGCTCCTCCCTCCTCCCTCCCTCCCCTTTCCTGTGTCTCTCCCCATCTCTCTCCCTCCCCTTCCCTGTGCTCCTCCCCATCCTATCCCCTTTCCCTGTGTCTTCCTCCTCTCCATCTCTCCCTCCCCTTCCTGTGTTCTTCCTATCTCTCTCTCCCCTTTCCTCCTGTGCTCCTCCCCATCTTCCCCTTTCCCTGTCTCTCCCTCCTCCCTCTATTCCCCTCTCCCCCCCCCTTTACCTGGAGAAGTCAGGGGGCCGACCGCGTTCCTGGCTGGAGCCGCCGTGCCGGGTGGCAGCTTCCCCGGTCCGGCGGCCCTGCTCCTGTCACTGCTGTGGCTGATGGAGGAGGAGCATGTCTCTGTACCATGCTCCCTCGCGGTTCCTGTGCCGGGAACCGCGAGAGAGCATGGTACTGAGACATGCTCCTCCTCCATCAGCCACAGAAGTGAGAGGAGTGCCGCCGGACCGGGGAAGCTGCCACCCAGCCCGGCGGCTCCAGCCAGGAACGCGGCCGGCCCACCGGGAAATTTCCCGATATCCCGGTTGGCCAGTCCAGCCCTGCTTGGGAATACAACTAAGCAAGGAGCCATAGACTAAATAAAGCCTCTTCCGGGAAAAAAATGGGAGGGTTTACAAAGACTGCAGTTCACAAAAATTGCAGCCTTTGCCATAAGCTCTTTTAAGATATACTCCCAATGAATACATGCATGAAAATTCATGGAACCGCAACCGGAGCTCGCTTACGCTACCAGAAGCTGCTCGTCTGGCGGATGAGTATACAGACATCCGTAAAACGGACCAACCCTTGGCAAAGTCCGCCCCATGCACGAAGTTAGTCTCCGGGATCTCCAACCAACCCCAACCTCCGGATAGAGGACCCCCCAGGCATCAACCAGCTCCACCAAAGACAGAACCTCGGTACTTCCGATGCCAACAACTAGAACACGTCAGGAGCAACTGTCCGCTAGAACCACCTAGACCACCGTGGGGGCGTACCAACCCGGTACCACCCAGGGCCACAGCTCACTGCCTAGAAGCGGAGTCTACACCCAAGGAATCCTGAAGGGTGTTACACGATGCCGACCTTGTACAGGTTGCCTGAGTAGACAACAGACAGAAACATCGACAACTGGTTGTGGTAAACGGACAGACCGCTAGAGGGCTGAGAGAAATCGTAGCTGCCCTGTCCTTGGTGCAACGCCACTGAGTTCGAGACAACAAGCATACGGGTCCAACAGTGGCTGTTAGGGTAGCTTTGGGAGTAACACATCGCCTACCCACTGTCCGCATTCATATTGATTGAGGAGATGGTTCCGGTACCGTGAACGTAGGGATTATGACGGATTTAACAGCGGAAGTCTTGCTTGGGAATGATTTAGAACCCCTTACTTCAGCCTACATCACTAAGGAACAAGCTAAAGCTCAACCTGTTACTACACATCTTCAAGCCGGGGCTTTGGAGGCTGACTCACGTCTTGAGGAGACCCAGGTAAGAGATGACCCCCAACTTTGACATTAAATTTGGCCCAGTTTGCTAGGGACACCCTAGAGGAGTTTGGGAGGGAGGCCCGGGAAGGCCCCACCCTCCAGAAATATAGGGCCTGGGCAGACACTGAGAAATGGGGCTTAAAGATGGAAAGGTTTATTTGGGAACAGTACCGGTTAAATAGGATAACCGAGATGCATACTTGAGGGGCAGCCCCATCCCAGAAGCAGTAGTAGGTAATACCAAGGAAATATCGGTTGGAACACGATGTACCTTTAGGAGGACATCTGGGCATATGCCGGACATCTCATAAAGTGACCAAGAACTATTTTTGGCCAGGAATCTCTAGGGATGTTCGATAGTACTGCCAAACCTGTTACACTTGCCAGAGAATAGGTAAGAACAGAGACCACCCCAAAGCTCGGCTGCAGTCCAATGCTGATCATTGAGGAGCCTTGCAGTCGACCTAATCGGACCCCTAGTTAGACCCTCTGGTAAGAGATACATACTTACCGTATGCTATCACAAAGCAATTGCGCTCATTAATATACAAGCAGAGACAGTAGCCCTGGTCCGAATATTTTCTCGGGGAGAGTTTTCCCAAGGAGATCCTATCAGACTAGGGTACTCAATTCATAGCAGACATTACCCATCAGCTGTAGAAGGTATGTGGAATAAAACCCATACTAAGCTCCCTCTAGCATCCCCATAGGCTGGATTAACCCATAGGTTAACATAGCAGTTTCTCTGAAACTGCTATTTTTACAGCAAAAAGGGTTAGACCTAGCTGGACCAGGCACCCAGACCACTTCATTATGCTGAAGTGGTCTGGGTGCCTATAGTGGTCCTTTAATCCAAACAAAGATTAAGATGACCAGGTTATGACACTACACTGATGAAGATGTTTTCACATGAGAACAGTCTATAATTTACTGAACATGACTGTAGCGGAGTAGAGGTATAATCCACGATATCTCCGCTGGCAGTGGTAGTCAGCATGAAAAATACAAGTAGCGTGATAAGTACAATCCTCTTTTCCCAAGAACTGAACGACACAGTTTCTGAGTAAACTGAGCTTTTATTGCACCACAGCTGGTTTTATTCAAATCCCCATGCAAGGGGTTTCCTTAATGACATTCCAGGGGTTTTCCCCTGGTGGATTCTGTGGAAAACTTAGTGTACAATAATATTTCCCATCATGCTTTTCTGTACTGGAGAGATAATTGCGTAAGAGTACACCTTTAATTACATTATCGCTCTGTACAGAAAATTTATACAATATAACACAAAAATACATAACTTGAGAAACATGCATCTGAACTTCCCGAAAGCGCACAATCTGACCAAATACCACCCAGATCCGTTCGTTGGAATAGAAAAGCCATTCGAATGAAGTTATGGACCGGTCAGCCATGAGGCGCGAGCCCCAAAATAGTTCCAGGTAATTGTAGGCTTTTACCGGTCTTCTTTTGGGAGTTCCTGTGAATGAACAGTCGAACATATACATGAATGTACGGGTTAGTTGGGTATGGGAAGTTCATGGGGTTTATTCCACCGAACGCCGCTCTATTTTGACAAATGGATATATCCATACGAACGGCATGGAAGTCCAGCGGTGTTCGCAAGGTCAAGTAGCCAATTCTAGTTCCATGCACTCAACGACCAAACACTGCTGGGCGTTCGTGAGCAAAGATGGCCGCCGCCACGTGTTCGGTTATACGAACGGCGACCACCCATTAAATCATTAGAGTTCTGCGGTTTCCCCAATGCTCCCACTTGTTAATTAAAGACATGTGACTCTCTTGTGTGGTCTCCCATTTGGCAGTTTATTTGTTTTACGAACAATATATCCCAATTCTTTTCATGAAACTGGCTTACAAATGCCCATAGTCTTTACAGGGGGAAATAAATGAATGGACCCAATCTTTTGTACAATGAAGTGGCTAGTTTTGCCACAATGACCTAACTGAAACTCTAGAGTATAATTATTTGTATTTATTAAGCCTTTGCGGTCCAATAACTTTTCACTAAGTGCGTCAGCAGGTCTTTTCTAGGAAATCATGTTGTTCCCGAATTGGAGATCGCATGCGCAAAAAGTCCCGCGACCTCCTGGTGTCATGCAAAGCAACCTGTGCTTGCGTTTCACTTCCAGGTTCAAACTCCTCCTCCTACAGTTCTAGTGCGAAGCACCTACTTCAGGGGACAATGTGAGCCCGCTGCTCAGCAAGACTGTCCCCCTCCTCTATTTTTGGTGAAATGCACACCACGCTCCTGCGTTCAACCTTTTTATACCGCCAATCCTCTGTGCCAGGTGCCAGAAAAGGCAAAGGTGGAGGGGCAAAATGGGGGACAGACCTGCTGCGCAACCAGCTCACCTTGTCCCGTAGAAGTAAGTTCTTCACATTTGGACTACAGGATAAGGAGTTTTGGAAACTTCCTTTTCAGAGGCTGGAAACCAATGGGCCAAGGTGGAAAGGTGTCTGATTACCTCCTCCCGACTTCTCTGTGTCTCAGTTCCCTCCCCCTCAGCCCCTCCATATGTTTCATTCCCTCCACCTCAGCCCCTCCATATGTTTCATTCCCTCCCCCCAACCCCTCCATGTCAGACCTCAATCCGCTCGGCCACACTTCACACGGAGGCACGAGGTGAGCAGCAAAGCGTTCTTCAGCCTTCTCCTGCAAGCCTTCCCTAGGCATTATCAAATCAGAGGCTTCTCACGGAGACCATGTTTAAGGACAAAATTCTTAATGAGCCATAGTGTCTCTCATTGAGATGTATTTCAAAGGCAGGTGCTTTGCTCAAGTGCCTTCTTTTGCGTTTAGCTCCGTGGAGCTGTTCATCCAGGAAGTAATGCCTCCTTTCCATCTGACCGTCAGTAAGTTGTTTTTAGCGTTCATTTATAAAAGTGTTGATTTCTATTGAATTAAGAACTTTTTTTTTTTTTAAATGAAACAAGGGGACAAACTCTACACAAATGTATTTAACATGTTCCTTTTAATGCTGTAATTTCAGAAATTTTAGTCATTTAAACCGTATGCACGGCTGAGGCCAGATTGACTCATTTGGAGCATTATCTGTAAGCTTCTGTTGACAAAATTGTCACTCTGTGTTTTCAAATTATTTATGTAAAATTTCTCAATTGACTAAAACAAATTCTTATCTACAAAACCATATTAATTGTGTTTAAAATTTGGTTTTTTTTTTTTACCAGGGGAGACCATTACAAAGGGGAGTCCTGTAATTGCAGGGAGTCCTGTCACTGCGGGGAGTCCTACCACTGCGGGGAGTCCTACCACTACGGGGAGTCCTGTCATTGTGGGGAATTCTACCACTGCCTGGAATTTTACCACTGCGGAGAGTCCTTTCACTGCTAAAAATGTGGTCATCAAAGTGATTGCCATTGTGATTATTTTCATCATAGGGATACTGTTATTGGTAAGTAGTTTTATCCCATTGAAGACTGTAAACAGTGTGAATATTCTTCAAGGTTGCTGCAGAATTACTCCATTCACCTAAGGTGCAAAAAAGAGTGAAGCAAAAAGTAAAATACTTTAATGTTTGCAAATAGCTTCAGGTGCACATATCATCCCAAAGTAGATTCATTTGTAAAAGCTGTAAAACAGCAGCAGTTAGTAGATTATATAAACTTGTGCAAATTGTTTCATTCATGGTATTCATGCATTAAACTACCCTTAAAGGGACAATGTAGGCAGTGTAACTGTATCATCCCATTGAAGTGTCTATTTTATCTGGTGTCCCTGGTGTTGTCCTTCCATTCAGTGTTAAACCGTTTTTAGTGGTTTAATACTATATGAGAGTCCCCAATATCTTGAGCAGCAATTGGTGGCTGTGATTGGCTGAAAGTGTCAGCTGACCCCTTTCAGTCAATCGCAGTCACAATTGCTGGTATGAATTGGTATGCTTAAAAGGCAGTGTGTAATCTCTGTCTTGGCCATACTTCCAGAAGGGGCTGGGCTGTGGGTGGCCGGGGAACCCTAATTTAGTGTTAAATTGCTTGAAAATTAGTCCTTTGTCAATTAAATGAGATGAAATGGTTATTGTGCCTATAGGGTCTCTTTTTAAACCCTTGCTGTGAAATAATATTTAGCTGAGAAATCTTAGACACTCCATTTGAGATTGCATACTGGGGACTTGTTCAAACTGAGAAACATTCAAAGATGAGATTTTTTTTAAAAAATTTTTTTTTAATGTAGCTTTATATTTATTTTGAATATCTTTTTAATACATTATCTAAACGTAAATGAACACTCCAGTCACAATAACAACTAAATGAAGTTGTTATGGTGCCAGTAGGTGCACTCTTACCTTAAGGGGTTAAACTTTCTCAAACAGTTTAACTCCAAAGGCTGCCCTCCAGCACCGATCTGCTTCTCCCCAGGTGCCATCTGGCTTCTGAAATTCAGTTTCAGGGAGCACAGAGTGCTGTTGGCCAGGGGTGCCGCTGATTGGCTTAGAGTAGTCAGCTGATGCTCCAAGCCAATCAGTAGCTCCCCATTGCTATAAAAGAGACATACGTTTTATATCAATGGGGAGCTACTGATTGCCTAAGAGCCTAGGGCTGGCTGCTGTTAATTTTAGTCCTGTCCTAAGGACTAATAATTGTACAAATAAACTATTTGGAACTAATGTGGCATGTTGTTTAACTTCTTCCTTTTTCATCCTCTTGCTATCTTCTGTAGTGTGGAAAACGGCTACTGAAACTGTGTAACCAAACTCAAGAGGCTGAACCAAAAGAAACTGAACAGATGGAGGTACAACATACAGAGCCCAGACTGTTAAGAAACACACAACTAATAATATATCAAAGCAGAATACAGGGCAATGTTAGTAGGAGTATATAAAACAAGAGATCAGAAAGAGACAAATTATCTCTGTGCTAAACTGCAAGGATGAGTTCCTACAAACAAAACTCTGAACATGGCAACATTAGTTGGTATTCAGTAAACCTTAATAAGGATGTATAGAAAGTGTGATAGAGTTGTATGCAAAGAAAAGAAGTAAAATGTAAAGGAAGGAGAAAAGATATTAAAGATTACCAGAGATTGTAGGACAAGAAATAAGGGACTACGAGGGGATCCAGTAGTGGGACGTGACAAAATTCTATGGGAAAACACCAATGGCCTGTGTCAAGCACACACAGCCAGTGAAGGATGCATTTTTTTCATAGTGAACATAAATGTGACAAAACTAAAAATTATGTTTGGCATCCAACACAGTCTAAAGTATGCAGATAAAATCAGTTCATTATGCCATCATGACAAAGTCCAAGGACGTAAGATAAATTTTTTGTGAATTGTGGGACCTCTTAAAACTGTGAATAAAGAAAGCATCAGTCCTCCTAGTTATAGTCCTAAAACAAAAAAAAAGTCAGCAGGCCAAATCACTCCATACGCGAAACGACAGAAAAAAAACCCCTGAAAGATCCTCCAAACAGGTCCTAATTCTCCCAAGGCAGATCTAGCTTAGCTCCTACTTGGGCAGTAAGGATACTGGAGAACACTATTGCACCCCAACATAATACCAACATCTCATAGAGCCTCACTGACTGCTGTCTCACCAGATTGCTCCAAAGGTTCTCTGGAAAAGGCTCACCACTTTCTGTGAGGCTTCAAGAGTCTGAGAAGGGCAACAAGATGTATAGAAGAGCCAAATTTTCAAGTTTAAATCCACTATGTCGGGGGGAGGGGTGTCAGCGGTAACCCCCACCATTCCAGAGAGGGAAGGAAGCAATACAGTGCAGAGCCCATTAGTAGGCCACACATTCCACTCCATAGAGCATAGTCCCATAAACCGTAACCAATCTCCGATAAAACCTAGCTGGCATTGTGTATGTTCAGTGTAGGTAAGTGCATGGAAGTGAGCAGAATGCAGTGTAGAACTTATTAGTATTATGGCTGTTAGAGCATTATGTGAGATGTAGTCCACAACATCTGGAGTTCCAAAGGTTGCCTACACCTGGCTTATAGAAAAGTTCCCAATTTTAGTTTTCCCCTCTTTTTCTTGCAGTGTGGTCTCCGATATAATAGTGATGACGCAGAACATAAACGCATAGTCCGCAATGGATCATTAAACAACAATATATATGAAAATGTATTGTCTATAATGCAAACAATCAATATTTTTTTTTCTTGTTTAAAAAACATATAAAGATACATCAACTAAAATATAATGTTGTGTGCCAATAGGCATGTATAGAATAATAAAACAACCCGGAATAAACTCAGATATGCATTAGAAAGCAATATAGTGATGCAGTCTTACTTTTCTTCAGATTTGATAGTTAGAGCTTTAACCCCTTAAGGACACATGACGTGTGTGACATGTCATGATTCCCATTTATTCCAGAAGTTTGGTCCTTAAGGGGTTAAATACGAAGCCAAAAGTATCTCCTGAATTAGTAACTGATTTATTTTTTGCATGTTATTGGTGGTATTGGTATCTATCCCTCATTTATTTAGATCACGTCTATCACACTGCTGTGGACTATTTACATAGCAAAGTATTCTGAAACGTGACACCTAATTTCCATCATTATTGATTGATTTATGGTCACTGATTGATTTATAAGTAATCTAAAAAATAATACGCATTTTTGCAGAAATATCCACTTTAGAAAACTGCCAAGTTTAAATTGTTGGAAAAAAAAATTGAAAGTGAAACTGAACACATGTTTTTCTGTCTGGAAAAAACACAGCAGACTTCTGTCTACTTTTCATTAACCCCTTAAGGACACATGACATGTGTGACATGTCATGATTCCATTTTATTCCAGAAGCTTGGTCCTTAAGGGGTTAAACATGTTTGCTCAATTTATTAAGGTGTTGGTGACACTTTGATAAATCTCCCACCCCCAATATTTCTAATCTGCAGATTGATGAAGCTTTATTTACCTTCTATTGCAGCACATTATATATTTCTTTACGGTATTGACTGTCTTATAGAATATAGTGACTACTTGCAGAAAGGGAATGATATGCTAGATGTGTTCCATAACAATGAGTCATATAGAGACATCTATATGTTATGTATTTATTCCTCATCACAGGTACCAACTGATGAAGCAAACTTGCAGAACAGTGTAAGCAACGTTTAACTTAAACTTGATCCTGAGAAAATAGTTCCTGACGTATGCAAATGAAGAATCCAAGTGGGAAATTGCAATGGGAATATTTTGGCAGCATTAAACAAAAGTGCCCCTAGCTTCGCAAATCTCTTTCTAGGATGGTCGGAGCAGCGTGTCACCTGTTCTCCTGCCTACACCAAATACCAACAGAAGATATCACACTTTTTTTTTTTAAACTGTCTCCTACGGCACTACTTCATTATTAGAAATCACCAATTGATATAAGTATTCTTATATACTATAATAATCACCTTATTATTTCTCAATTCAGGAGACTACCCATGACTATACACCTATTCATATTACAAATCTTTATATTTAAATTTAGCCTATTTACACCAAATACTACAACTAAAAGTTACGTTTTAAAGAAGCCGTGAGTGCAGCCAACCATTACTACTATTTGGATACTGGAGCCTCGGTGATGCACCCAGCCATATAACTGAAGCATGAGTGCAAGGAACATTTGTTTTTTTATAAATATATATATATATATATATATATATATATATATATATATACATAATTACATAAATAATTTTATAAATATACACGTAGACTTCAAATATATAAATATGCATATATATTTAAATTCTACGTGCAAATCTATGTCATATTTTTACATTATCAAGTAATTTTATTGATTGCCATTTGAGGGACCTGCCTGACAACCCAGGCCGAAAGTCCAGAGAATTTAATTTGCTAGCACTGTATTTAACCCTGAAACTTTTTATGACATCCTAAAACCTGTACATGGGGGGTACTGCTTTACTCAGGAGACTTCACTGAACACCAATATTAATGTTTCAAAACAGTAAAACATATCACAGTGATTATATTGTCAGTGAAAGTGACTTTGTTTGCATTTTTCAAAGAAAATTGTAATGTGTATGCAAAAAAAAAAGCAACAAAAAACTTCTATCAGTGTTAATGATATATTTATTTTTCTGTTTTGTTTACATGCACATATACCTCGGTATATGAACGTGATATAAACCTGTAAACTTGAACGCTGTGTAAATAAAAACACGTTTTATATCTCAAATTACTCTGTGTCAGTTTGGTTTATAATGGACCCTACTTACATTTTATGAAATTAAACATTTATTCACTTTTATTCTGACGCCTACAACAGTCCCATAATGGTATTCTGCTTGACCCCCTTTGACATAATCAGGTATGATGACATCTGTCCAATCCAATGATTCTCAAAGATTCTCATGCAGAGTATTCACCACGACCCGCCAATCAAATGCTTCTCATTAAAAAGTAAATATTCTTGCCTATTTTGTTACCAGTAGCACATCGCCCCCACTCCACAGAGCCAATGCTTAGAATACTGGAACCCTACAGACTCATCTAAAAAGTATAAAAAAATCATTTCATTTTATATATAATTATCCTTAGAAATATTTTTTTTGTTCTTTTTTTCTTCTTTTAATGGGTTATTATTATTATTTTATTATTTATAGAGCGCCATCAAATTCCGTAGCGCTGTACAATGGATGGACTAACATACATGTAACTGTAACCAGACAAGTTGGACTCACAGGAACAGAGGGGTGGAGGGCCCTGCTCCATGAGCTTACATGCTAGAGGGAGTGGGGTATAGTGACAAAGGGGGTAAAAGTAGGGGTATGAAGTAGGTTGTTAGAAAAGTATTAATTGAGGGCTTAGTAGGTCATTTTTGACAGTTGCAGGGGAGGAGTCATGGAGGGTGGGGTATGAAGACTTGCTAACAGTTTAATTGATATGCTTTCTTGAAGAAGTGAGTTTTCAATGATTTTTTTGAATGAGTGGAGACTGGGTGAAATTCTTACGGAGAAGGGAAGGGAGTTCCACAGAAGAGGTGCAGCCCTGGAGAAGTCTTGGAGGTGAGCATTAGAGGTGGGAGTACGGACAGAGGATATACGTAGGTCTTTGGCAGAGCGTAGGGGTTTACTGTATTAAAAAGAGATGGCCTTTTTTTTTTTTTTTTAATTCTTTATTTTGAAAATTTTTTGTCATTTAACGTGGGGATACAGAAAAGAAAAGTTGGCGGTACAATTGTCATACAAAGTTTACAGAGTTATCACATTCTCATGTAGCATATGATCAGGCTATATCTTGTGGCATATCTTTTAACTTTCCTTTGGGAATTGGGAATTGGGTGGGGTACAGAAAAAAGAAGAGGGAAGGTGAGTGGGGTACATATACATACAGTTTCGATTCTTCCTTTACATCAATCCAGTTCTCTTTATGTTGGTGGGTCTGGGTGGTTATGGGAATGAGTTGGCTTGTGTGAGCCTTTTTGCGTGGTGTAGTGTCCGTGATGGGTTGCGTCGTACGCTGTCAGCGCATATTGTTCAGTTGGGTAGGAGTGAGGGGGCAGGTGTTTGGGGGTATTTTTTCCTGCTTGTTTTGCGTTGTTTCCTAGTTCAGGTGTTGTCTATGCTCGGTTTTGGTCGAGTTGCCTGGTTCACTATGATGTCTGGGGGTGTAAGAGGGGTGCCGGGGAAAGGGGAGGTGTGGGGTGGGTTATCTTCACTTGTTGTTTCCGTTTTGTTTTTCAGGTTGGGTGTGGACCCAGTTATAAGGGGTGGTCTGGTAAGTCGATGCGAGTGTCAGCCAGCGTGGGTTTTCCCGTTGGTGAGTCTGAGATGTTATGGGTATTGAGGTTGTTGTCGTATGTAGCTTCTATTGTGGCCCTCTTTTCTGGTTTCCCATCTGTATGTTTTCTATTATTTAAGTGTGTGCTGGGTACCTCTCGTTGGGGTTGTGCTGTGGTTTCGCTTACCTCTGGGGTTGTTGGTATGGTTGTTGTGTTGTGTGGTCACTGGATTTAGGCTGTTTCAGCTGTTTTCTTAGTTGGCGGGTATGTTTGGTTCTGTTGTATTTGTTTCGGGGTGTCCGGTTTTGGGGGATTTGTTCGGCCCTTTGGGGTTTCTTATCTGGGGGTTCTCTCAGTTTGTGTGGTTGGGGGTTATGTTTGGTGGTCTTGGTTCTTTTATGTTTCCGTGTGTGTGGGTGGCTGGTGCTAGAGGGGGTGTGTCTGGTGGTTCTGGGAGGTGTTGGTGGTTTAAGTGTCTGCGGAGCGTTTTTGTAGCGTGGGTGTGTGTGTGTTTCAGGTGGAGAGAGGGTTTTCGTAGAACCATGGGTCCCAGATTTTGTGGAAGTGCTTAGTCGAGTCGTGTACCAGTGCGGACAATTCGTCCATTTTAATTGTCTCTTTTATTTTTTGGGTTATTGTACCCACGGTCGGGGTTTCTGGGCTACCCCATTTTTCGGCAATGGCTCTTCTAGTGGCCAGTGCTATTTTGGCAATTAGTTTGTTTTGGGCCCTAGGTGTGTTGGGAAGCGGTTTGGATAGGAGCCACGTCCAGGGGTTTAGTGGTATGTCTGTGTGGAGGATTTTCGATACCATGGAAGCTATTTGTTGCCAAAGTTGTGCGGTGGGTGTGCATTCCCACCACATGTGGAGGTATGTGCCCTTCTGTCCGCAACCTTTCCAGCATATGTCCGTGTCTGACCTGCCCATCTGCTTGAGCCTGAGGGGGGTAAGATACCATCTCATAAGCGTCTTGTACGCCTGTTCTTTGTGGTTGACACAGATTGATATAGATGCTGTGGCCTCCCAGATCCTGGCCCAATCAGTCGGGTCTTCTGCCGGGCCTAGATCCCTCTCCCAAGCCGACACATATGTAAGGGCCCCGTCTTTAACATTTTGGATTAGGTGTGTGTAGAGTGCGGATATTTGGCCTTTTTGTGTCGGGGATTGCATGCATTGTTTTTCGAAGGATGTGAGCTCTTTAGTTCCTGCTTGTTTGGTTATTGGCATGTCTAGGAAGCTTTTGATTTGTATGTGGCGGAACATGTCAAATGTACGGTATGGTGTTGTATGTGGGAGCTCTGGGAAAGGTATTGGTTGTTGGTTTTTGTAGTAGTGGAACAGTCGAGTGAGATCGTTTGCCTCGAAGCGGGCGAAGTCTTTGGGTGTCATGCCCGGTGGGAAGTGGGTGTTGCGAAGTAGCGGGGTTAGTGGTGAGTGTTGGGTTGTAAGGCCGCTCTTGTGAGTTGTTTTGTCCCATATGTTTATGGTGTTGAGTATCGCCGGTGATGTGCGGGGCAGCGGGGGCCTCGCTGATTTCTGTAGCCAGATGTATAGTGAGGGGAAGTCTCTGCCGAAAATGTCGTGTTCAAGGTCTACCCAACGTTTAACTCCGTATGGGGCGTGCCAGTTTTGGGCCTGCGTTAGTTGGGCTGCCTGGTAGTAATGTGTAAGGTGGGGTAAGCCCAGGCCCCCGGCTCTATTGGGTACATATAGGGTTTGGCGTTTTATTCTGGCGCGTCTGTTGGCCCATATAAATTTGTCGATGGTTGTTTGCAGTGTTTTGAAGTCGCTGCTCCGGATTGGGATCGGTAGGGTTTGGAATAGGTATAGAAGCCTAGGGAGCACGTTCATCTTGACTGACGCTAGTCTGCCCAGCCACGAGATCGGCATGTTTTGCCAGGTAGAGATGTCGTGGGTTATTTTCTGTATCGTGGGTGTATAGTTCAGAGCATAGCATTGGGGTAGGTCTGCCGGGATAGCGATCCCTAGGTATTGTATGTGGGTGGGTTTTAGTCTGAAGGGGTATTTTTCTTGGATGGCTGCTGTTGTGGAAGGGTCTATGTGTATTGAGAGGGCTTCTGTTTTATCTATGTTTAGTTTGTACCCTGATACCGCCGCATATGCTTCTAGGGCGTGTAGAAGTGGTGGTAAGGAGGTTATGGGTTCCGTGATTGTGATGAGTAGGTCGTCTGCATATGCCGCCGTTTTATATTCTTCCTCTCGTACTCTGAGGCCGGTTATGTCGGTGTTGAGCCTGAGGCTCTGTAGGAGCGGTTCAAGGGAGAGTGCAAATAGGACTGGGGATAGTGGGCATCCCTGACGCGTGCCGTTGTAAATCGTGAAGGAGGGTGGTTGTGTATGTGGGAGGAGTAAGTGTGCTTGAGGTGTGGCGTATAGTACTGTCAGCGCGTTCCTGAATTCTTGTGGGAATCTGAGTTTTTCGAGAGTCGCGAATAGGAAGGGCCAAAGTAGTCTGTCGAAGGCTTTTTCTGCGTCAAGCGAAACTATTAAGGTCGGGATTTGTCTTGTGTGAGCTGTCCAGATGAGGTCGTATGTCCGTCTAGTGTTGTCGCTAGCCTGTCTCGTGGGTATAAAGCCCACCTGGTCTGGGTGGATTAGTCGGGTTAGATATGGGTTGAGGCGGTCTGCTAGGAGTTTGGTGAGTAGTTTGATATCAACGTTGAGGAGTGATATTGGTCGGTAGTGTCCTGGGTCTAGGAGGGTTTTGTTGGGTTTGGGGAGGAGGCATACATTGGCCTGTAGCATGTCTGGTGGTAGTTGGTCGCCTGCCAGGATCGCGTTGTAGAGGTTGCAGAGGTGGGGGATCAGGGTGGATGCGTAAGTTTTGTAATAGAGTCCTGTGAACCCATCCGGGCCCGGGCTTTTATTGGGTTTCAGTGTTTTGATCGCTCCTGCGAGTTCTTCTGGCGTGATGGGGTTGGCTAGTGCTTCCTCTGCTTCTGTTGGGAGGGAAGGTAGTGGTACCTGTTGTAGGTATTGGTCAATAAGTGTGTTGGTGTGCGTTGGGTTTTGTCGGGTTGTAGGTGAGTGGTCGTACAAGGCTTCAAAGTATTTCTGAAAGACGCCGGCTATCTCGCTCGGTTTTTCTGTGAGAGTCCCTTCTGGTGTGTTAATTTTGGTGATCTGTTTACGTTCTGTTCTCTGTTTGAGTTTCCTTGCGAGTAGTGTGTCTGCTTTGTTTGCTTTGTCATAAAATAGTTGTTTTGACCACAGTAGTGCTTTGGTTGAATCTTTCGCCATGTATTTTTTTATTTTTGTTTGGCATTCTGCAATTTTTCCGTTTGTTTCTGGCGTTGGGTTAAGTTTATGTTGGGCCTCTAGGGTCCTAAGGGTCATTAGTGTCTTTTCTAGGTGTGCTACCTGTTTTCTTTTGTGTATGGTCGCTTGATTTATCATGACTCCCCGGATTACTGCTTTGTGTGCTGCCCATAGAG